AGTCTATAGCAGTTTTGGTAACCCGACAAGCCTCGTTGAAGGAGCAGGCTCTCAGGAGGCAATCATACAGGTAGGAGTAGATCATGATCCCCTGGGAGCATAGGTGAGCACCCACTACTGAGAGAACCTTGGAGAATACCCTCGAAGCTGATGACAACCCGAAGAGGAGTACTCTTTATTGATAGTGGTGTTGTCCTAGGGTAAACCTGAGGAACTGTCCGAGAGACAGTATGATTGAAATATGGAAATAAGCATCTTGAAGGTCGAGGGCCAAAAAACAGTCTCCCTCTTCCAGTGCTGGAATAATCATTGCTAGAGTGACCATCTAGAATTTTTGAGCTTTGACAAACTTGTTGAGTGCTCTGAGGTCTAGCATAGGTCTCCAACCTCCCTTCCTCTGGGGTTTTAGGAAATAACGAGAGTTAAAACCTTTGCCTCATAGATGGTGAGGTACTGGTTCTATGGCTCCTAACTGGAGGAGGCGATCTCTCTCTTTTCGTAGTAAACTCTCATGAGAAGGGTCCCTGAAAGACGGGAAGGGTAAAGGTGGGGGGAGGCAAAGTGGATGGAATACCCATTTTGAATGATTTCCAAGACCCCATCCGTCCAATGGTATGCATTCCCAGGTCCTGCGGAACATGGCAAGGTAGTTGCTGAATGGGTAGAATGGGTCAGCAGTTGAGGGGAGTGGTCTGTCGATACCTCGACTAACATGTCAAAATTGATATTTTAAGGTAGACGGTTGCAACCTGGAAGGTTGTGGCCCTGATGGTTTGCGTCTGGAGAACCTAGATTTATTTCTCTGAGGTTCATAAAAGCATTGAGTCTGGTATCGGGAGGTACAGGATTTATGTTGGGGCCGTGGACTAAATTTTGTTTTTTGTCCAGGTGTATAGATTCCTAATAAGTGGAGAATTGCCCTGAAATCTTTAAGGGTATGGAGAGACGCATCAGTATTCTCTGTAAACAACTTAGTGTCTTCAAAGGGAAGGTCTTCAACAGTTGTCTGCACCCCTTTAGGGAAACCTGAAAGGTGTAACCATGGCATACTTCTCATGACCACCGTCATGGAGATGGACTGGGCCGCTGTACTGGCTGCATCGAGGGCTGACTGGAGAGTTGTTTTGGCTACTAGCTGCCCTTCCTGGATGATAGCTCAGAATTAGTTGCACTGTGACTTTGGGAGATGATCAATAAAACTGTTGAATTCTGAATAATTGACATAGTCATACTTCGCTGTTAAGGCTTGATAGTTTGTAATTCGAAACTGCAATGTGGCTGAAGAGTAGGCTTTCTGCCCAAAGAGGTCCAAGCATTTCCAATCCCTATCATAGGGAGTGGATCTCATTTGGTTTTGACGGGCCTGGGAGTTTGCCACATCCATAACAATGGAGTTGGGGGAAGGGTGGGAGAAGAGAAATTCCATCTCCCCAGCCAGGATGTAATATTTTTATTGGCCCATTTACAAGTAGGCCTCACTGATGCTGGGGTTTGTCATATAGTTTTGCAGGTCCATAAGAACCTCATTGATGGGGAAAGCTATTCTGGAGGTCGAGAAAGAGTGTGGGATGTCAAGGAGTTTGTAATGAACGTCCTTGACTTCCTCCAACGGTATCTGCAGTGTGCCTGCAACTCTTTTTGCCAAGTCCTGGGAGAGCTGGAAATCATCAGCTAAGGATGGTGGCAGGGCATGAATGCCTCATTTGGAGAGGAGGAAGAGATGTTGGTCTTCAGAGTAACTTCTTCCTCAACTCCACCCTCATATTCTTCCATGATCTCTTCTGAAGGTTTTGAGGTTCTGGATGCCATAGCCGAAGAAGAATGTCTCAAGGGCTTATGAGTGAGGCTGGGAGCCTGAGAAGTGTGGGGGTGATATGCACCCAGATATCCCAGTATGGCCACCGGGGCAGTGGAATAGAGCCCAGTGGTGGTGCCCATGGTTGGTCATATGCCAGTGGTGGGGGGGAAGATTGGGGGTATACCCAAGGAGCCTCTTGATAATAGACATATGAGGGTGCGTGGCATCCCTCCAAAACTGATAGATGGGGGAACTACTCTCCACTCATAGAATATCAGGGTTGGAAGGGACCTCAGGAGGTCATCTAGTCCAACCCCCTGCTCAAAGGAGGACAGATTTTTGTCCCAAATCCCTAAACGGCCCCGCTCAAGGACTGAACTCACAACCCTGAGTTTAGCAGGCCAATGCTCAAACCACTGAGCTATCCCTCCCCCCTCCCTGGTGGGCAAAACTTGGCAGAGAAGGCACTTCTTGAAGCCTGGTGAGCCGGGTATACCTTGCTGGGGAAAGGGGTCCCCAACAAAAAAAGGGGAAAAATAAAGTTTTGTTTGTTTGCTTTTTGTTTTGGAAGAGAGATACAGAGGAAAAGGCTTCAACTAAGACTGAAGAGACTAAGTAATAAAAATACTAAAGAAGCTAATTATCGAAACAGACTGCTAATGGCTCCGTCTCTAGCCCGGGGCAGTTGAGAAGGAACTGAGGGGGATTAGCCTGTGTGCGCTGGTTAGCCTTGTGGCAGGGCATGAGGAGAGATAGCGCATGTGTGGGCCTAACCAACACTGCTACCAAAGTTCTCCAATCAGCAGCACAGGGACAGAAGCACACCTATAGGGACACTACTCAAAGAAGTAGTATTTCCTTATGTTTGTTTTAAACCTGCTGCCTATTAATTTCATTGTGTGACCCCTGGTTCTTGTATTATGTGAAGAGGTAAATAACACTTCCTTATTCACTTTCTGCACACCATTCATCATTTTATAGATATCCATCATACCCCTCTTAGTAGTCTTTTTTCCAAGATGAAAATTACAAGTCTTTGTAATCTCTCTTCATATGGAAGCTGTTCCATCCCCATAATCATTTTTGTTGCCCTTCTCTGTACCTTTTCCAATTCTAATATATCTTTTTTGAGATGGGGCAAACAGTATTCAAGGTGTGGGAGTACCATGGATTTATATAGGGGCATTATGATATTTTCTGGCTTATTATCTATCCCTTTCCTAATGGGTCCTGGCATTCTGTTAGCTTTTTTGACTGCCACTGCACATTCAGTGGATGTTTTCAGAGAACTATCCACAATGACTCCAAGATCTCTCTCTTGAATGGTAACAGCTAATTTAGACCCCATCATTTTGTATGTATAGTTGGGATTATGTTTTCCAATGTGCACTACTCTGCATTTATCAACATTGAATTTCATCTGCCATTTTGTTTGCCCAGTCACCCAGTTCTGTGAGATCCCTTAGGGTATGTCTTCACTACCGGCCGGATCGGTGGGCAGCGATTGATCCAGCGGGGATCGATTTATCACATGTAGTCTAGATGCGATAAATCGACCCCCAAACCCTCTCCCGTCGACTCCTGTACTCCAGCTCAGCAAGAGTCGATAGGGAAGTGGCAGCAGTTGACTCACCGCAGTGAAGACACCACAGTAAGTCGATCTAAGTATGTTGACTTCAGCTACGTTATTCATGTAGCTGAAGCTGCGTAACTTAGATCGATCCCCACCTCCCCACCCCCAGTGTAGACCAGGCCTTAGTAACTCCTCATAGTCTGCTTTGGACCTAACTATCTTAAAAAATTTTGTATAGTCTGAAAATTTTGCCACATCGCTGTTTACCCCTTTTTTGACATCATTTATGAATATGTGGAACCGCACTGGTCCCAGTACAGATCTCTGGGGGACACTACTATTTACCTCTCTCCATTTTGAAAACTGATCTTTTAGCTAAAACCTGGTTCTAGAAAAGCATGCAAGTTCAGAGGGGTAAAGGGTTATTTTTTCCCCCACACTAATTCACCCATCCCTACAAAGAGTTGAGGCTTTGGCATAAATTTACAGCCAATCCAAACTTTGTGGCTGAGAACCATATCTAATTTTAATTCATTAGAAGTGGTGCGGTTTTGATTTTTCTGGTTTGCCTCTAATTTACATCAACTTATGCTGAAGTCTTAGTTCCACGTTAGCACTGTATTGCTATTTCTTTATTTAACTTATTTAAAAAAAGGATGAATAAAACAAAGAGGAGCCTATATTTGCTTCTTAAAAAACACACCACACACCAGATGGGAATATTTTTTTTAAGATGAGTTTTAAAATTCTTTCACCTCATGGAAGACGAAATACTGTTTTACACATACGGGTCAAATTATACTGGCGCAAATCTGGAGTAACTGATGATTTCAAGTGGATTACTCCAGCTTTAGACTGATGTAACCGAGAGATGAATTTGACCTGGATCTTATGTTTAAGTGAGATAGGAGTTACGTATGCTTCAGATCTTTTGGGAACAGTTCCTCCAGTAATTGATGCACAGTAGTTATTGAGCTGGTCTCTAAAGCCAGAACTGTAATATATTTTCTTTCTTGCTGCTCTAGATCTTAATGCAAGCTTAAGAAACCTTAATTTATGCTTGCAACTTTTAAGTTCCAAGTACAACAAAAAATGCGTAAGAGTTAAGAAAAGCAGCAGAAAATTGAGCAGTGATTAATAAATGGCTAAATTGGCGTTCGGAGGTTCCATCATACTAAAATAATTGTTGCCTATGCTAGTGTTTAGCAGTTAAAAGAGACCATGGAAATCAACCGTTTGATTCTCAATTTCATACTGTGCCATACAATCAATTCTTTTTAGTCAGACTGTCTCTAGATTTACTTCTGAGCCATAGTAAAATGAGGAAGCTTTCATTAATCTTTCAGATGCTTCATATTAATGACAAGGCTCTTGCATGAACAATGTAACAGCAATTAAAAAGCCCATTAATCTGCATTACAGCTATTAAAGATGCATGTCATTAAAGGGTATGGAGTTTGATTCATTTTCGCACCCCCCCAAAAATGGAGCAATTATGCTCTGGCAATGCACTTTGTCATCAAATTAGGTTGGGGTTTTCCAGCAAATGGCTTTGCAGCATTTAGCTCTTCTCCTATTTTATTATTCATGACTGAAATGTGGAAGTCAAGACCTTTGAAATTACTTTACCTTCTTGTGGAGTGGAGATGTTCAATGCATGTGAGCTCTCAGTACAGCCAGCCAAAGTGCAAGCAGTTAGGGTTACACCATAGTTTGCGAAGGGTTGCAAGCCTGTCAACATGCCTACAACAGAAGAAATTAATGTTGCATATGTACACTATGCGGTCCCTTGTATGTACATATACAGTCACAATGCTATAATTACATCGTCCAGCAATATATATTTACATAAAATAATATACTTACAGTAGTACAGGAGGAAAGGACAAAGCATTAAAACTTGCATTTCTAGTTCCCTGTGGTTTGGAATAGTTTCTGCTTTTTAAAAATAAATCATGTTTTATTCAGAAAAATATGCTAATATTGTGCAACTGGAATCTTCCAGTTATTCTTTGTAAACTAGAAGTTATTTCAAGATTTCAGCAGCTTAAATACATATAACTTTTGACTCAGCTTTTCTTCATCCCTTCCCCACCAAATTATTTTACTTATACGTTTTGTTTTTCCCAAGGAATTTCTAACCTCTTGGATAAAACTAAAGAGATCTTTCTCTCAGGCATTAACACTGTTCTACAAAGCTTTCCATTTTAATCCAAGATATCAAGCTCCTGGTACCATATGAAACATATCACCTGAGTTCCATTACTTCAGTGGCATCATATAATCCCTGTGTTAATACACCACCACAGTAACGGAACACAGTTGACACGGTACCCAAGGATTCAACATGGAAAGATTTGTATACTTGTGCTTTTTCAGGACTTATTGGTGTTAGTGAAGAGAGGTGGATAGAATTCTGTTATAAATCAGCCATGAGTGATACCAATTTGATTTCACTCCTGGATGCACTCCTGAAAAAAAATGGTCATCCTAGTACTCAAAAAATGTAGGGATAGGTGTAACGATTCAGTGAGGAGTATTGGCATAGGAAATCTCACAGTTATATTAAATTGGAAAATATAGAAGTACCACAGTGAAAGTGTACAAATGTTCAAGAAATCTGTCAAAGCATTAGCAGTTCCCATTTCAAAGCAGGTGAAATAATAAAATAATATGAAGTGAAACTTCAGAAAAAAAGTTAAAAATTAATAAAAAAGGAGAGCAGACTCTTGCCAACTTTCAACGTGCATCATATTCTGATGTCCGCTAAGTATACACTGGCTTCCAAGTGTAGAATTTCACCTTAGGTGCCAAATTGTGCTATTTAGGCACTGTCCTGCATTGGGGTGCTAAAAAGCTGTACTTTTTCATAAGCAGCTTGGGAAAGAACTTGCTATTGGAAGTTACAAAATTATATTTAATTGGAAAATGCAGAGGTAAAGAGCTTGCCCTAAGATCCCTTCAGTGCAGTGTGTCATGATGCTGCCTCCTTCACCTCCTGCCCCCTTTGGGGTGATGTGCACACTTGGAGGTGGAAGTAAGTAGCAGACCCTACCATTAACAATCAGTGCAGAAAATTTCCCTTCCTCTTGTGCAGGACAGCAAAGTAAACGTCAAAGTTGGTGCAGTTTTTCTTTGATGTGCACAAGTGACAATCCAAAGTGAGTTGCTGTATTCTCCTAGTATTTGCTAAGAAGTTTGTAGATGCTACAGTTTTCCACTTTCACTGAAATGGAGGTGCTTGGTTTATTCTTGTACTTGACTGAAAAATCCTGAAAGTTTGGCATCTGCAAGATCTTTCAATCTCTCTCTTTTAGGGCCTGATTCTACTCTCCCTTACAACAGTATAAATCAGGGGTAACTCCAGTCAATGTAGTTCCATTTAAGAGTAAAAACGGTGAAAGATCGATACCTCTATGATCATAGTTCTTGATTCTGCTAATCATCAGTTGATAATGGAAAGCTGCACTGACACCTCTGAATCTAATGTAAATGCTACAGCAGATACACTGAAGGCAGAGCAGGGTCAGCAGCAGTACCAACAAACTTTGCCTGTAATCTTTTGATGATGGAAGACAGCAATTTGAAAGCACATTGAATAAGCATAAAGTAGGCATTATTGATGTTTTTAAAGTTTTAGTATCCCGTGTAATGCAGGCATCTGTATTAAACTATTTGGCACCAGCATCTCCAGGGAATCTCTCTGCTAAGCACTAATGCATTTTGCATTAATACTTAACATTGACACATACCTAGTGTGGGGGGCAGGAGGGAGAGGGGAGGGACAAAGAGGAAAGTAAAACCACACAGTTTGAATTACCTTGAGCCAATAAATAGGTGCATGAACCAATGCATCTAAATGTGACATTTGCATGTTCTCTGCTGTGAGAAGTGTGGTAGGGGATATTGTGTTATACATCAAGTGCCTTTTCACATTGTATTCTGCTGTGCTTTTGGATGCAATTTAGTTGTATTTTACATTTAGCAGCCGTAGCCTATTCTCCTTATGAGATAGTGAGTTAATACTCCTTGAATTTCTTGTTGGGAGACATTCTGTGGGGTCTCCAATAGCTTCAGGCACCACCAGCAGCAACAGTACATCCAGAAAGATGCCCAAAGCACTGGAGGAATTTTTATTTATTTTACAAAATGGAAAGATATTACATGCTGTATCTGCGCTGCATTAGATTTTACATATTGAATCATTTGACAGGGATGTGAAGAACAGTGGGCTTCTAAAAATCATTCTTTTTGTAAATCTTGTTCATTTTTTTTTAGTAAAGGCTTATACAGAGAAATTCACTCTTTTCCTTTACGCATAACATGTCCACTATTTTGCCAGCAACAAGGAAGCAGATGAACTGAATAGGTAGGCAACGGAAAGTGCAGTTTTTATTTACATACTTCAACAAACTATTTTTTTCCTCAGCTGCCAACCTAGCTATTTGGCCAGCATCCGCTGTAATCTGTTCTCCTTCATTATGTTAATCTGTGGGCGGAAAGATTGCTGTCATCTTCAAATCGCTTGTACAGCAATGGTAAACACCTTGGCCTGTCTGTAATTGGACAGGTGTCTGCTTTGGTGTCACTCGGCTTTTAATTCAATTAAAGAACTGGCTGCTCTTCTCTCATTACCCGCTCATTTCCTCTGCACTTTTAGTCAGCTATTGAAATTTACACCCGGTGCCTGCCTATCCCAGAGTGCAAAGTCAGCAGTCCCATAACAAAGATCATCTTTGATATACATGCTTTAATTTATAGCAGAGCAAAGAAAATTATGTAATCTTGTTATAAAACTGCCCTGAGACCCATCTGAAAATGGTAGAGGGTCTTTTAAATAGTTTCTTAACCCTTAATTTGTACACTATCATGTCAGCATCTCTTAAAGGCAATACTTGACATCCAGGTAGATAGTTCATGTGGCTGCATCACAAAGTGATGCTAACCCCACAAAATTCTGCCCTCAGATATGCGTCCACAGCTACCACTGAAGTAAACAGGAGCTGTGTGGATAAACCAGTGGGTGGAATGGAATGCTGAGTAAATGGTACAGTCAAAGCTGCTTGAAATTAGAGAACATTACTTCTGCAATAGAATCATCCTCCCAACATTTGAGTTACTGAGATTCCCCAGTCTTGTTCAGCTTGCTACTGAAGTACAGTTGAATTCTTCTAGGTTTTAAATTTAAATCACAGAATAAGTTCCAAGCCTTAAAATCCACATGGTGGATTAGAGACAGTAAATCAATCCAATGCACCACTCTTTCTGCCCACTAAAAGGAACCTCAGGAAATAAATTAAAGTCCTAACACAGACATTTTGACGCAGTGACCCCATGAAACTGAATAATGTCATTTGTTAAATATGGATGTAAAGTTAACAGTGTAACAGATCTGTAAACCCACACCTAGAACATTAAGACCTCTTGGTATGCAAAACTAGTATTTAATTTTCTATACTTTTATTTAAATGTTTTTTAAATTATTTGTAGTATTTAAAGCTGGGATTTAGTAACAGTTTAGGAAGAAAAAACATGAGGTTTATCCTCACATTATCTGAAATGGGGGAAACATGTATGGAAATGAACAGCAGAAAAGGGTCCACAATACATTTATGGTAAAATGGAGGTCTGGTAAGATGAAAATTGGGCAACACTGCAGTAGAATGACTGTACCCAATCGGGCGTGGAATGTGGGGCGAACCCAAACAGCAACAGTTAAGATATTTGTACACCGATACAAGGAGCCTCAGTAACAAACTGGAGGAACTAGAATTACTGGTGCAGGAAGTGAAACCAGATATTATAGGGATAACAGAAACATGGTGGAATAGTAGCCATGATTGGAGTACAGGTATTGAAAGGTATGGGCTGTTCAAGAAAGAAAGAAAGAAAGAAAGAAAGAAAAAGGCAAAGGTGGTTGAGTAGACTTGTATATTAATGCTAAGATACACTGTAAAGAAATTAGAAATGATAGAATGGATAAGATAGAGTCTGTTTGGGCCAAAATCACTTTGGGGAAGAAAGCTACTAAAGGATATAGTGCTTGAGGTGTGTTACAGACCACCAGGATCCGATTTGGTTATGGATAGAGACCTCTTTAATGTTTTTAATTAACTAAATACTACTGGAAATTGTGCGATTATGGGAGACTTTAATTTCCCAAATATAGATTGGAGGACAAGTGTTACTAAGGGTATGTCTACACTACGAGAGTAGTTCGATTTTAGTTAAATCGAATATGTGCAATCGATATTAGAAAGTCGAACGTGTGTGTCTACACTAAGGACAGTAATTCGACTTTGTCAGTCCACACTACCAGGGAAAGCGTCGACATTGGAAGCAGTGCACTGTGGGCAGCTATCCCACAGTTCCCGCAGTCCCCGCTGCCCATTGGAATTCTGGGTCGAGCCCCCAATGCCTTCTGGGTAAAAAAATGTGGCGACGGTGCTTTTGGGTAACTGTCGTCATCCGTCAGTCACTACCGCCCTGCCTCCCTCCCTGAAAGCGCCGGCGGGAAATCAGTTCGCGCATTTTTTGATCAGTGACAGCACGGACGCCACAGCACTGCGATCATGGATCCCGCTGCGACCATCGCTGCAGTTGTGGCCGTTCTCAACGCCTCGCACCTTATCATACACCTTTCCCACAGGCAGATGCAGAGAAATCAGGCGAGGAGGCTACGGCACCGCCGTGAGGGCCTGAAGTCGGAGAGTAGCACAGAGCTGTCAGAAACCACGAGCCCC